TTTTTATATATGTATATTTAAATAAGTGTGTGTATATTATATATTATAATTGTTTTATTTTTCCCCAACTTTTGAAATTAATGCAATTTAGTCCATTTTACAATTTTTCCTCACATTTTACAATTTTTTATTTGATCCTTTTATGTTGTTTATTGTTTTTAAATTTTAATTTGTAATTTCATATTTGTTCAATTTAGTCCTTCAAATTATATTTGTATTTTAAATTGACCCATACTTATTTATATTTTTGTAGTTTACTTAAAACCCTATAAAATGTAAATGTCATAATAAATTTCTTTTCAAATTATGTTCAACAACTTTTTAAATGTATGCAATTTAGTCCATTTTCTATATTAATATCAGCTTCAGATTTTATAATTAATTCAATTTCATCGCTCGTCAATGATTGTTGTTTAATTTATTCAATTTTTTATTTCCAATTTCATGTTTGTTTAATTTGTTACTTTATATACATATATAAACTATAAAGTATAAGTATATATATATATATATATATATATTATAATTGTTTTAATTTTCCCCAACTTTTGAAATTAATACAATTTAGTTCATTTTACAATTTTCCTCACATTTTACAATTTTTTTGATTTGATCCTTTTATGTTGTTTATTGTATTTAAATTTTAATTTGTAATTTCATATTTGTTCAATTTAGTCCTTCAAATTATATTTGTATCTGAAATTGACCCATACTTATTTATATTTTTGTAATTTACTTAAAACCCTATAAAATGTAAATCACATAATAAATTTCTTTCAAATTATGTTCACCAACTTTTTAAATGTATGAAATTTAGTCCATTTTTATATTAATATCAGCTTCACATTTTATAATTAATTCAATTTCATCTCTCATCAATGTGTATTGTTTAATTTATTCAATTTTTTATTTCCAATTTCATGTTTGTTCAATATGGTATTTTATATACATATATAAACTATAAAATATAAGTATATAAGTATATATATAAAGTATAAAGTATATAATATAAAGTATTAAAGTATATAATATAAAGTAATAAAGTGTATGGATATAAGTATTAAATATAAAGTATTATAGTATATAAATATAAGTATTAAATATAAAATATATTAATTATCATAATTAATATATTAAGTATTATATATATATATATATATATATATATAAAGTATAAATTATATAATATAAAGTATTAAAGTATATAATATAAAGTAATAAAGTGTTTGAATATAAGTATTAAATATAAAGTATTATAGTATATAAATATAAGTATTGAATATAAAATATATTAATTATCATAATTAATATATTAACTATATTTATTAATTTAATTATCATAATTAATATTTTATTATAACATTAAAAAATTAATCATATTAATTAGTATGATTTATTATAAACTCAAAATCTCACAATTTTATTAAAATCTTATATTTCATCAATGGTAATATTTAAGTCAGGTAAATATCAGATCCTGTCAATAATAAGTCAGATCATTTACAAGTCAGGTTGAAAATAGGTCAGGTTCATAACAGGCCAGGTTGAAAACAGGTCGGGTAATACCAGTTATTTACTAGGTTAATCTCAGGTTAGGGTTCACATTAGTCGGATGCAGGTTGAGTTTGGGTATCATATTTTCAGTTCAATTCTTGTTCAGGTCGTTCTCAGGTCGAGTGCAGATCGGGTTCAGATCCACAATTTCCAGGTTCAACTCGAGTTCAGGTCAACACCAGTTTTGACTCGAGTCGGTTTCCGATTGCCACAACGCATGTCAAAAACATTTTTGACTCGAGTTTATTTCAGTCAATTTTATAGGTCGAGTCAGCTTTTTACACCCCTATTTTTACATACGTACTAATATACTTATCTACGCCATTGGAGTTTTACTTTCTTTTTCTTTTGTCAGATTATTCATGAAGAACCTTAGAGACATCTGCAAATACCTTTTTCAAGGAACGTATCACTGTCTCCATTTTTCTTGTAATTTGTTCAATCGCTTTACTCATTTCTCGTTTTTTTAATTGTTTGGTTGCTTTAAAAGCTTTAGCTCAATTTTGATTCATTGTGACTGGTCTTATGCCCAATGTTGTTGATGGGGAAAATAAAGTGGGTTTCCTACTGAAAATTGTTTGTGATTCTATAGAGGGAGTCTGCAATGCAAAGAAGGATTACAATGTTGCAAAGCAGCCCGAGATCGATGTGCCCAATTTGCAGGTCATTAAACTTATGCAGAGCTTCAAGTCCAAGGAATATGACTTTTGGTTGGATGCACTACTATTGGTACCTTACTTATGAAAGAATTGAGTTTCTCTGAACTGACCTCAATCTCCCATCAGAAATTGTGCCTGCTACTTTAAAGAAATCTACTAAGCTCCCTGGTAGGCCAGGTGGCCAACCTGGTGATCGCCCTCGGTAATGCATCTTATGAGGGTTTAATAATTAAATATCCCCCCTCCCTTTGGTGAAGTGTTTAGCTTGTGTTGATTTTAGGGGTCCTCCTCGCTTTGAAGGAGACTGTCCAAGGTTTGGCGACAGATATGGGTACCGTGGAGGTTCTCCATGGGGTGACTTTGGTGGTGACAAGGAAGGTGCCCAGGCAGATTTCCAACCATAATTCAGGGTAATTTTACATTTTGAATTTGGTCTATGTTTAATGGTTTATATTGATTCAACTTCCTTTTATGCTACTTATGGTATATTTTGAAGGTTTTTACTACAGTAGTTGTTGGTTTACCGCATGCATGTAGAACATAAAGTGCTACATGATCAATTATTGTTTTCTTGATGGTTTGTACGTTAGATTTAGGCAATGGAAGCATTCAAGGGTATGATTAGTGCTTAATTTTAGGCTCTAGCTTGATTAAACATTGTTCTCATACCAACTGAAAATTCTTCCATTGCTCTAAGCTTGATTTAGAATTCTAGATGATGTTTTGGATATAAGGTCTAGCGAGGTTACAAACAATTTTAAAATGGAATTCATTTTGCTTATATTTGGTAAAAGATTAAGCATTCAGACATGTCATTTAAAAGATTAAGCATTCAGATATGTCATTTGCTGTGTATCTTTATTGTATTTAATGGTGGTAACAGGTTTTCAGTACAAACTTGGAGCTCTCCTTATTCCGAGAGGCCACCAACTCTATTCTTGTGTCGTGCCAAATATCACTTGCGTTTGATGCCGATACCAGTGGCTGCTTACATTTCTTTGTTTTTGTTGTGCAGGGTCATGGCGGAAGGCCTGCCTTTGGTCGTGAAGGTGGAGGTGGAGGCTATAGTGTAGTGCCATCTGGTTCTGGTTTTGCTTGAAGCTTTGTCTTTTGACTTGGGTTGTTTTGGAACATAGTATTTAAGAAACCTTACAACTAAGCATTTGTTACCATGGAACTAAAATTTACAATTCGATGTTGAGTTCTGTGGAAATACTACTGCTCACCTATTACTTTTTTTGTTAGGATAAATTATAAATTTGGGAACTGAATCTTATTCCCTCTTCTTTTTACTCATTGTACTTTAAATCTTTTCAATTTCTTCACTGAACTTAATATATTGAATTTTTTTTTCACTCAACCATTTTCTCACTAACGACATTATAAATAGATTGGTTATAAATATGTTGTTATATAGATACAAAACATCGTACTTCGTTTTAACCCCGTTAACTAGTTGACGGCAGAGTGACAAAAAAAATTAAATGTATTAAATTCAACGAAAAAATTGAAAACTTTTAATGTTTTGTGAGCAAAATAGGATAGAGAGTACAGTTTAGTAATGAAATTTGTAATTTACCCTTCTTATTATTCCTTGAGAGAAAAAAATACTTTTCTCATAGTAGTGTACATTTTCTATCTGCTCAATACTCCGTTTGCTTACTTTAGATAAGTGTCTAGCGTCTTCAACATTATCATTTTTAGAAAATAATATTACCAACTAGTGGAAAATAATTTTCACATCATTCAAACAATATAAAATGATTTCTAAATACTAATTTCTAAAAAAATGCAATTCATTTTTCGAAAATCGTTTTTAATGAAACAAAGAGATCACTATTGTTCTTTTATGTTCCGGTTTACACTGAACCTAAGTCCCCCTATCTACTTCCATTGACTGCCTCTCATCAAATCCTTTATCAGTTAGCCCAGATTCTGGTCATTCAGATATCCATAGACTTTTACTATCCAACTGTTATTTTGGCACTTGGCGAAGGTAACCAATCCCTAAGATGGTAGAGATGAATACATGTGGAAAAAGTATCCGATTTTCTCCAATGAACAGGGGGTCCTAAAATACATCAAGATTCGCAAACAATGCTTTTACGCAAAGCATAATCTAACAACAAACAGCTATCCTAAGAGATGGAGACATATAAGGAAAGTTCCGACGCTCACGGTCGTAACTGCATAATCTTAAACTACAGAAGAAGAGAGTGGCTACTCTTTGATGATGGTGAGAAAGGGTTATGTTGTAAAGTTCTCTAGTTGTCCAAACAAAATAATATCGTACTCTGCTTTGAAGGCCATGAAAATGCGGTGAGGTTTAAAGCTCCTAGATTTTTTAACGTCCATCATGTGAAACAGCTTCCATTATGCACACATTATCAGAAGTTCACAAACAGGCAAAAGCTGCATTTGAATACTAAATGAAATTCATTGTAAATATTTATCAGCTAGAATTTGGACCATCCATACACCAAAGCATCACATAAGAACAAGTTGTCATACTGAATTAGAGATTCAACAGATTTTGGTTCATTGAGCAATTAAAATGTGTGAAAACTAAGTCTTGAAACAAGAACCATCGACAGCAGCAAAAATTTCAGACAAACCCTTGGAATGCAATTGGATAAACATCATCTAGAAGCAACAACAAACACAAAACCTAAAACCAAACTCTACAATCTGATCTATATACCAAAAGAAAGTTCAAAGCAATAATAATAGTATGAATTCAAAGGCAAACTAATCTTTACTAACTGTACAAATAGCTCCTTAAAAACACCAACTTTATTTTCCCTACCCTCCAAAGGAGAAAAAGCCACGCTTTTTTGGCACCTCCTCAACCATAACAGCCTTCATACTATCCTGCTCAATAAGCCTCCCAGCAGCTTGCTCGAAAGCCAATCCAGCAAGGGTTGGCGGCTTATTCAGAACAAGCGGATACCCTCTATTTGTGCTATTAATGACCTCGGAATCCTCAGGAATTACCCCTAACAATGGCAGCCCCAACATCTCTTGCACATCCAAAACTGACATCATATCTTCTCCTTTTATCATATCGGTCCTTACTCTGTTCACTATCATTTTGATATCCCTTATCCCATCGCATTCTAACAGCCCCATCACTCTATCCGCGTCCCTTAAGCTAGTTATGTCCGGCGTCGTCACCAGAACCGCCTCATTTGCCGGAGTTATTGCCGTTATGAACCCTGCGTCGATCCCCGCCGGACAATCAATTAGTATGAAATCCGGAGATTTATCCTCACGCGCTTTGAGAGCGTCAACTAGCCAAACCAACGCTTTCCCACCGAATCCGATGGGGAGTTTCGATCTGGGCGTGGAAATGCAAAGCAATTCGAAGTTGGACCAACGCTTGTCTCGAACCAATGCTTGGTCCAGCCGGCAATCACCGTTGATTACCTCGACGACCGTGTAATTCACGCGATTCTCGAGACCGAGGAGGAGGTCTAGGTTACGGAGGCCAACATCGGCGTCAATGGCCACTACAAAGAATCCGAGACGGGCTAAGGAAAGTCCAACATTGGCGGTGGTAGTTGTTTTTCCAACGCCGCCTTTCCCTGATGTTATAACCACAATGCGCGGGGTCTCCCCCGCCAGCCCAGGCTTTCTGTTCCATTGAAGGACTGACGAAATGGGGGTGTGCTTTGGTTTTGGGTAGGGTCTTGGAGGCTTTAGGGTTTGCCTGTTTAAAAGGGGTTTAAAGGAAGGGTTGAGAATAGTGGGATTAGGGTTTGAGAACACTGCTTTTTAGGATTTTAGGAAGCAAGCAAATCATTTAATTTTCCTTTCGAATGCCTTCACTACGAACCGCCACATGTCATTATACGGTTAAGATCTATTCCTCAAAAATATATGATACGGTTGAGATCTACAATAGCATCCGTCCAAATGGGGAGAAACCTAATCGGACGATTATTATTTACCTGAGATAACTTTTCTTCTCTTCTCATATACAATAAACGAAAGTAGTTCTAGCTATGGAAAGGACAAAAGAGATTAATGATTTACCCTTGAAATATAATGCAGCTCATTCCAACTCTTCATCCGAACTCATTGCCTCCCTGACAAAATATCACGACACCAAAACAGTTTCTTAGATGGGCGTTTATCATAAAAAATTAATTTTTTCATTTAATATTCTCGATCAAATATTATTTAAATTATATTTTTTGATTTAACATTTTTTTACATAAAGGTTCACCTCCTGCAACATTTTTAATATTGATTTGACGTTACGTGGAATAAGACGCGTCCCGTGAGACGAGTCTTATGTTGAAATTGGATACACGTGTGTATAGCTCGACCCTTGGGGCGCCTTAGGCCACATAAGGTATAGCGCGGGGTAGGGGTCGCGCCTTAACTGTGAATTTGATACAATTATAGCTTTAGTTTTATCTGATATAATTATGTAAGGCGTGGTGCAGGTACCGCGTCTTATATAATTATAATAACTTTTCTCGACTATAAATATCATTCCCCCCGGAGCTCCTCACATTTTCTCTAAACAGAAAAAAATTAATACAACAATCTGGCAATCTTCTCATATTTGATTCAGAAGTTCGTTCGATTTTTCGTTATAAGGTAATTTTGTTATAATTTTTTTATTATACTTATTGTTTATTATGATTATATGAAAAAAATAGTATACTAATTGTTGTCAATTAATTTATGAGTTTGTAAAATTGGAAAGCGGGAGCATACGTCGAAATAGTTTTGCGTTACAGGTAATAATATAAAATTATATTATTTAAATTATTTACGTTTATGTGTAAAAATTTTATTGTGTTATATTTTCGTTCATATATTATTTATTTAATCATGTTTGTTTCAGTTGTTTTTTTTTTTTTTGCAGATATAATATTGTCGTACTTTTAAACTTCAATAATGACGCGACTTTCAGCTATTGTTTATTATGATGGTGAAATTCGAGAAGATGAAACAGTCGTTGTTTTCGTATCAAATGAGCGTGTTAAAATATCATTCAAGAGAAACATAACTCTTGAGGAGCTGATAACGAAGATTTCGAGGAAGATTTATGTTGGAAGTAGTAGAAGAATGTCGTCGTTGCAGTACAGATTTCCAACATCATTGTTGTCATTAACTTATACAACGTTTGAACTTTCGAACAATGATAATGTTAAAATGATGGTTGAAGCTCAAAGTAATTATTCAAACGCCGATATTGAGATGTGTGCAAATTTTGTTCAAGTGCGTGTTGTTCGGGGTCAATTATTAAGCTCCCACTATGGGTTGGCTGAACAAGTTTATCAAGTTGACAACCCGACGACAATAATATATAATGATTTTAATGCCATAATGGGGAGACATTCATCCGCAACTCCTTACGATATATACCAAGGTGAGTCGACGAACAATCCGTATGGCAACATCGCGTCCAGTTCAAGGGGAAGACATTCATCTGCAAATCCCTTTGACCTTAATATGGAGATGCCATCGACGCAACAATCTGTGCAGTTTCCATTTGACACAATGGCTTCAAGCTCCAGGGGGAGGCATTCGACTGTGAGCTTTTTCGATCTTAATGTCGATATGCCTTCCAGTTCAAGGGGAAGGCGTGCAAGTAGTAGGTTATTCGACCTAAATGTGGAGATCATGGAAGAACCATCATCTCCACCAGAAGAACCGATTCGTGAGCCTGGTGCGGATGGTGCTGAGACTAGACTATTCATTCACCTAGAATCACCGCAATTCAACTCCGATGATGTAGATGAAGTTCCAGGAAATGTGACACAAACTGACCCTCCAGCACACATGTATGAAGCTGATTATGGTGCAATGTACAGACCAGAATTTGTGGATATGCCTCATCTCGGTGACTATGTATATTACTTATCAAATAAATAATGGTGAGTTATCTTTAGGCATAGAGTTTTCAAGCAAAGAAGAAACGATGATGGCTATAAAAAATTACAATATTCGTAATTCTGTTCAATCCAGAGTCGACCGCTCCACGACAGAAAAATATGTATGTCACTGTGCCCGACGCGAAAACGGATGCAATTGGATGGTTCACGTATCGAAGAGGAAGAGAAAAAATAACAGATGAGAACTAACAGTATACAACGGTCCTCACACATGTTATGCTGGAGGGGTCAACCAAAATCATCCCAACTTAGACTCTGAAATGATATGTCAAGCCATCATGCCCATGGTAAAAGCAAGCTCTCATATAGATATTGTTGTGTTGATTTCATCTATACAATCGCAGTATGGGTATATTGTCTCCTACAAAAAAGCTTGGTTGGCAAAACAAAATGCCATTGTCAAACTTCATGGCGAATGGGATGCATCTTACAACAAACTTCCAAGTTGGTTTAGGCTGGTACGGAGGTTGAATCCTGGGATAATTGTGGACTTCGAAACCTCCTATGCATACCATAATGATCGAGTTCTTCGCGATCGATGCCAATTCTACCGGGTTTTTTGGACTTACCAACAATGCGTTAATGCTGTCAAATACTGCAAGCCTGTGGGTCCAGATCGACGGGACTTTCTTGTATGGAAAATACAAACAAGTTTTATTATTGGCAGTTGTCCAAGATGAAAATCGCAACATTCTTCCAGTTGCTTTTACTCATGTCAAAGGAGAAGATACATATTCTTGGGTTTTTTCCTCTGAAATTTACGTGCACATGTTATCACGAGGGAAAACATCTGTGTCATTTCAGATCGCGGAGCTGGGATCAAAGCAGCAATGGAGTCTTTGGGTCCAATGTGGCAACCACCCTTTGTCCAACATAGGTATTGTCTCCGACACATTGCTGCGAACTACCATGGAAGGTACAAGAAGAATGATGAGCGTCAATTAATTGTGCGCATAGGTAAGTGAAACTGATGTAGTTTGTTTTCTTTCTATCCTTTTAATTTTTCAAAGAAAGCAAGTTAGTAAGTTATACATTTGTTTATCAGGTTACGAACTACTTCCTCGAACGTTTGAATCAATGCTTCAAGATTTGTGGGCGAAGAACGAGGAAGGATACGATTACATCAGCCTCATTGATAAAGAAATGTGGACGAACGCATATGATGGTGGATATCGATATGGACACATGACGACCAACTTGGCAAAGGCAATAAATTCAACCTTAAAGGGTGCACGTCACTTACCAGTAACGGCTTTGGTAAAGACTACATATTTTCGTTAGGGGCCTTTTTGCGAAGCTCGGGGGACAAGCTCAAACCTGGATGCAAGGCGGTCATGTCTATCACCCTAGATTAGTTGCAGATATACAAAAAACAATTATGCATCAAATGGAATGTCTGTAACAGCTTCTCTAGAAGGCATGAAATGTTTCATGTCACAGAGTTACCGCGACCTCATCAAGGGATTGAAGTTGTGTCGTTAAGAGTAAATCTAAAGAATAGAACGTGCGACTGCGGGTTTTTTCAAGCTCTAAAGTATCCATGCTCTCATGTGATAGCAGCTTGCTCGCATACACGTCAAGACTATAACCATTTTGTGGATCTCGTATACCTATTATCTGAAGTTCTTAAGGTGTACGAATTTGAGTTCCCCCCATAGGTAATGACAAAGACCCTGATGAGGTTCAAGATTGGCTTCCGATTATACCAAATCCGAGTTTATTGAGGGAGTGTGGTCATCCAAAATCCAATCGAATTCATTGCGATAAGGATATTCGAGAAAGATCTAGACAAGACAGAAGATGTGGGCATTATAGAAACCCATGACACACTAGAAAAACATGTCCATTTCTGTTGTCATCAAGTAACAATTGATGAGGAAATGATGTAGTTGTTTATCAAATAATAATTCGTGTACTTTAATTTGCATTTACTTCAAGTTAATGTTATTCGATAACCGCTGATGAAGATTAAAAAATGATACAATTATACGAGATTGGATGTTGGTGTTATATTAACGAATAATTGATATTAACGATACAATAAGTATTAAATGGTAAATGATAACCAAATTACAATAACTTATATTAAATGGTACTAAACAAAATTAAGCAAAATAAATTAACAAAAAGTCCAACAAATTTAACAAACTTAATTAAAATCAATCCAACCATATTAACGAATTAAAGAAAGTATTAAATGATAAATAATAAAAAATTACAATAAAAAAGTCCAATAAACAACTACAACAAAAAGTACTAAATACAAATATAATAAAAAAAACAAAATCTATCGATGCCTGCGACGCGAATGTGTTCCGCAGAGCGGTGGCTGTCGGTCTCGAGGAGGATTTCTTTGTATCACTGGTTGTGAATCCTTGCTGTCATCATCATCGCCATCATCGTCGTCGTCGTCGTTATCATCGTCGTCCTGAGCAGCTACATTTTATTGATGAGGAGCTGATGACGATGAAGCACCTCCGTAGAATAAGGACCCTCGAGGTGTATGATTGACTATCCCACCGGCCTGCGAAAACTGGGAAAACTCATAAAACCCAAACATCACTGAGTGTGAAAACTTTACAGGAGGTGTCTGTGCTGAGGCCATGGGTGATGAGGCTGAACCCGTCAAATATCCAGTATATGAACCCCAAGTTGGATATACAAACATAAACCCATAATAGCCTCTAGAAGGGGTCATAAAATTCTGTGACAGTGGCGGCGGCGGGGTCATAAAACCATGTGAAGGCGGCGGCAGCGACATCTGGTAATGCAAAGGCGGTGGCGGCATCATATATGGCTATGGTATGTAAGTCGATGGATACGATGGCTGCTGTGAAGGTCCTGCTGGTGCAGCTGAGGATGAACCGGAAGCACCTGCTCTCCGTCCACGAGTCGGGGGATGATGGTGCTGTGTCGGTGAAAGTCTCTGTCGACGTCGTGGAAAAGTCTGCCCTCGTGCATCCTCGGGAAGCAGAAACCGTTTCCCGTTACCGTTGAACCACTCATAATAACCGTCAGCAACCATCAAGAGGTAAAGTAAAATGGGCTCTCTACGGGGAAGACGCCGATGTCGATCCTCCCACAACATGACCCACTCATGATGCCTCGCCAGCCAATCTGTATCTGTCTTGCCGCGTCTATTTGTGCTATGCAACTCGTCCATATTGCGAGGTACTTCCAAAATTGGTTGAAAACAACCAAATTGCCGGAGCACGCGATCAGTGGAGTGCCACTCGACGGTCGCATAACAGATCAAAAGGGACCATCACCATCCAAACATCTGATGGGCCCCTCAACTCAGGTGGGATCACCGTCCTCACATCATCAGTAGAATATGGCACCCATTCAAACTAAAACAAATATATATAATTTTTATCAAAATAATAATCTAATTATATAACTATAATCTAAAATCGATTTTTAAACATTAAATTTATACTTGTGTGCCAGCCTTCTGATCGATTAACACCCTAATTTTTTCTAAATCATCAGGTAGCTCCTGATGATTTTTCCTACCAATAGACCACCTATTCAAGGAAAAAATTATTATACGATGTATCAAATGATTAATATAAGAAATCAGTTTTACAATTACCTCAATAGTAGTGGAAATACGAATGGGTTATTGACAACGAGACATAAAAAGGGCAATCGATACCATGCCTAAGACTGCAGCAGCTGGAGACATCCGTCGATAGCATTTCTCATGTAGTCAATGGCTCGACACATCTCCCTGTTCAAGAAAGCCAAAACTACTGAGCCCCAACTGAGTGATTCGACCAGATGAAAGTCGCTAAGATGTCGCAACCACATGTAGTGAACGTGGTTGCACGATTTGTCCGGCATCAGCAACCCTCCTATCAGGTGCAGTATGCATGACTATGCATACATTTTAACTTCATCATCAGATGCGTCCTCGCTCAACTCCCGAAAATTGGCATCTAACCAATTTAACGGTATCTGACCACAGTTAAAATTTTTCGGGACACGTCCTAGATTTTCCCGGCACAAAGTAGTCTAGGAACCCTGCACGATCCCTGATACCACATTTCCATCCACCGGAAGCCTGAGGTGCATAACAACATCCTCAAGTGTAATCGTACACTCTCTGGCCTCTACCGCTCTACTAAGGCAGAAATAAGGTCTGGTTCTATCTTACAGTGACCCCTGATATCTACCTATGTAACCGAATCTAGTGTCTACTAAATACGGCAAGACACAGCTAGGTATCACTAACTTAAGGTTCCTAATAAAACGATCTAATACACGGTCCTTCTCCTAAAATTAAATAATTACAAAAATTAATTCTTAATTTAATAATCATGCATTAAATAAATCAACAAATTATTACTAATAATTTAAATTAAATTAAAACGTTAAAATGTTACCGTATCAGTAAAGTGTCGAGATATGATTTTCATCCAAGCGAGTAGTGCCTTCTATTATATCTGCAAAAAAAATTATATAAGTAAAATATTAAATAAATTAAATGCTTAAATAAATTAAATACAAAATATTAAAAATATAATAAAATATACCTTAAACAGATAATATAAGAGTATTGGAGAGAAGTTGAGAGAAATTGAGAAAATTTGGTGTGATGAAAGTGATTGAGGATGAGGTATTTATAGGGAGGGATTGGGGTGTGAAGCGTCGGGGTAGGTGGGCAATTAAACCTAAGGTGCGCCGCAGGGGCGCGCCTTACTGACACGTGAAAGATTCACAGGATGTTAAATCGAGAAATATAATCTGAACGGTATCTAATCGAGAATATTAAATAAAAAAAAGTGATTTTTCGAAAAAAACACCTCCTAAATGAAATGACACTAGAAAGACAGATGATTCTTGGATTTAAGGCTATTGCAAAAGACACATTTCCAATCAATAGCTAGACCCATCTCTAACAATTTGTCTTTGGTGGAAATGACCATCCATCCGATAATAGCATGCTTAGACACATGAAGTGGAAATCATAAAGTTTTACGCGACTTAGACTTAATCCCGTGAGGTCTTACGGCAGACCAGATCCATTTGACATTGACATCCTGAGAAAAAAGGGCATACGTATACAAATTTTGAGCTTCATTTCTCAAATCTAGTATCTTCTACGGAACCCAGCTCCTATTAGCCTTTTTCTCAACCAACCAAAAATCCACCCCTTTAAAAGACATATGCCTTTAACCAAGTCACCCACAAAGAACCCTCCCCGCCAAAGTCTTTCGAATAAGAAGAAAAGTACATGCCTTATTCCAACACTTAATGTCTTTTAGTTGGATACCTCTGTCGAAATGATTTTATTCAAAAATCTTGTTTTCGAATAAATTTGATGATATGTTAATAATAAAATGTGATTTGAGGAGAATAATAAAATGTGATTTGAGGAGTCATCACCAATCTTTGATTGAGTGTGATTGGACATCCAAAAAATATTTGTCATTTAAAAAATATATTTTAATTAAAACAATAAATTTGCGGCCTGTGCTACCAAAAAAGGTTAAGTTCGGGATTCGGTTACGTGTGAATGATTAGCAGCCCACAGCGCCCTAAATCAGTACATAGTCGATAAATTAGTTGTCTTTGCAATGAAATTTTCGAAATGTGGTTTAATTTAATTCAAGATCCTATTTAAACATTCTTTGAATTTTAGGACGGAACACAATAATATTTAATTATTTCATATCGAGAGGAATCGACCTCTCATACCTTAAAGCAGTTGATTCTTACTCCAATCGAAATAATAAATATTACAATTCCATCCTAGAGTTCATTATTAATTCAAAATTACAACACAAAATAATTCTAAGAGAGAAAACGATAATATCTAATTATTTCCGATCGAGAATAAATAACCTATCATGCCTTAAAGCATTCATTTATTACTCCACTCGAAATGAAAATATATCATTATTTCGTCTTAAAATTCAATATTGATTCGAGTGAGAACGATAATATCTAATGATTTCTAATCGATAATAAATGATCTCTTATGCCTTAAAGCAATCATTTATTACTCTAATCGAAATGAAGAGATATCACTATTATGTCTTAAAAATCAATATTGATTCAAGAGAAAATGGTAATATATAATTATTTTCGATCGAGAATAAATGACCTCTCATGCCGTAAAACAATCATTTATTTCTCCAACCGAAATGAAAAGATATTACTATTTTCAATATCGATTTAAGTGTTACTATTTTGAAATCAATTGAAAAAAAACACGTGCAAAAATAAAACGAATTAGAAGCATACATCGAGCAAGTATAATTAATTATTTATTTTACCAACATTTAATGAGAATAAGGATGTTCAATTACTTAAATACATCAAGCCGATACCTTAGATTCGATCTAATAGTCTTTTCTCGGTGAATTTAATTAAAAGAACATGATCTTTTTCCCAATCCCCAAATTTTAAAATAGATTCAATTTAATTCATGCCACTAAATGAGATAGACTTTCATTTTAAAATTATCAAAAGTAACTTTCTTATACGTTAAGACAGTCACTTTACGACAATATTAAAATGAACGAATATTATCCTTAGTCAAATTATTTTGATTAGAGTCCAGAAATGCTTATTAGAGTATCATGAAAAATTAATTAATGACTACAATGAAATAACATGCAAGCATCATGCAAAAATTAAAATAAAATAAAATGAAAATAGGACTAAAATATAAACAATCAAATCATCATTTCAAAAAACTAAAACAAAATAAAGTGCAAAAGTAACTGAAATGAACATTTTTAATATTTAGTGATAAAATTACAAAGATAAAAATAAATAAAACATGAGGACCAAATTAAAATAAAATAAACTTGCATAGCCAAATTAAATTCAATAAAAATATATCACAGTTTGAAATATAAGCATACTGAAATTACAGGGACCATTCCATAATTATTCCCTTTTTAGCTTAAAACATGCTTTTAAAGAAAAATGGGTAAATTACCTAATCAATCCATAAACATTTAAAATAAAATTAAACTGTCACTACACATGACCAAAATGTAAAAACACGCTAAACATAGAAGGACTAAAAAAAATAACCTAAAAATATATAACATACACAAAAATGGGTAAATTGCATAATAAGTCCCTACAGGTGACTAACATGCAAAAATATGCTAAAGTTAAGGGGACTAAACAACAAATAACCCTAAAAATATAAAGCATGCATGAAAGTGGATAAATTAAAAACTGGTCCTTACAGGTGACCACTTTGTAAAAACACGCTTAAAGTGGAATGACCTAAGCATGATTTTACCCTAATTTTTCTATATATACAACTTTTCTCTTTTTTTTTTCATTTTAAACCAAAATTTTAAAAATATCAAAACCTCTTTATTTTCTCTCTTTTTCTCTTGATCGACCCATTGTCGACTGCGTTACCCCGCTGTTTGACCACCACACACGACAGTCAGAACACCTAAACCTACCCAAAACCTCCTAATCGCTCATATCCACACTGCCTAGACACAAACCTAAGGCCTAAACCAACCAAAAAACTCCCTAAAGAACCAAAAAAGGTCCCTTAACCTTTCGGTTTCCCCAACTCCAACGACCTCCGACGTAGATTATAACACCCCAATTACCGGGTAAGTGACTAAATTGTAATAACTTATAAATTCAGTGGCTGAATTAGAATAGAGTGATAAGTCTAGTGATTTATGGAGGACTTTTGTGTGTTGGTTATGATAGTAAATATGGAATTATAATAAGGGTAAAATGGTAAATTTTAGGGAAAGATATTTTTAATGGTTTTGGATAGGATATATATGAAGA